TTTTTTAGGCACCTGAGGGTAGGAATGCTGCTAGTTTCTGTCAGAATCTTTTCTGTGATTAGATAACATGGGAGTTTAATAAATATTAATTGTGCATGCTGCTGTCTGGCTTGGCCCTACTAGGAATTCATTTTACACAGATAACTCCTGATAACCGTCTTTGGCAGTTGTGTGTGTTTAACGTTTATTTTTACAGATGCGAAGAGAAAGGGATCAAGTCATAGTCTGCCTTTGAAGAAAGAAAAATATTAATGGATTTTTTTCTTCTCCTTCTTCACACAAATATGTGTGTGATTCCAATGTGTAAAAAGGAATAGTTGAAGATGTGCAAAGTAATGAAGAAGTGGGGCATTGGGATGCAGAAGAAAAAAGTTCTTGGAGGCCAGGGAGAGAGCACAGTCTTGAGGTCCCAAGAGCACAGGTAGCTGTAGGAACTCAGAGCTTGTGTTTGGAGGTCAGCCTTCCAAGAGGTGAAGGGACAGACGGAGGCCAAGTTTAGGAAGGGTGTGGAACTTTGCTGAGGAGGTTGGATTGTATCTCAAAGGCGGTCAAAGTCACTGAAGAGTTTTAAACAGAGTATCAACATAATGAAATATGTGATTATGAAAACCAAACAGTGGTTCAGGGATCTCCTTGGACCAGGAAGGATTTGTTTGGGGTGAGGAGGGGTGCAGCTTCTCAGAGGGTTCAGTTAGGAGACTGTTAGAGTAATGCAGAAAGAATCCAAGACAAGGAAATACAGAGGAGGTTTTTCCATCCTGTCACACTTACGCTTTCTTAAGGAGCTATTATAGAATACATGCCAGGGCTCTCTCTGGACTCAGTAAATCCAAATACCTGGAAGTGGGTGGTCATTGGCTTTTTTAGAAATCCCCCAAGCAATGCCTCTTCCATCCAGGGTTGAGAGCCCCTGGGATTCCCTTGCCTTACTGGAAGCTTAGTTTTCTTCTCCAGGTGACTCACCCTGTGAAACCCACCCTCCAGGTAAAGATGAGCTGTTGTGTTCACTTGCCCAGCAAACTTGGCCACCTTGAGTAGTCAGGGGATTCAGGAGAATTGATAAGCAGAGCCTTCTTTCCTGCAATTGGAATCTGTCACCCTGGGGCAGGGAAGGAATCTTGGTTTGGATCAGAAAGCCCCGCCTGCCTGCCTGCACACAGCTAAGGCAGCTCTCTGTAGCCAGAAAAGCTTCAACGTTTCCATGAACCTTTGCCCACAATTCTGTCATATTTCAAGAAATCCAAAGGATCGGGAAAGTGCTTGAATTATTGCAACATTCCTCTGATTGCTTAGATTGCATTTGAGAAACAAATTCAGTGTAGCATTTGTGTGAGTGCCAATTTTGTTGGTATACTAGGGAAGAAGGGAAGAAACCTGAGTTCCCACTGTGAAGGTAGAGCCGAGAGAAGTCTGGAGTAATCCCATGCCACCTAGACCCCATCACTGGAATCAGCAGAGCCCGGCAGAGTGATGAGGGGGTATGGAAGCTTCTGACTTACTGTTAGGGGTTATAGAAAGATAAGGTCATCCCATCCTGCCAGGAAATGTGCAAATATGGCCTCATGGTTCCCAGTCATGCACAAAAGGGTCTCCCAAACCTCATTCATCTAATGTGCAGAACTGCTTTGCAAAATGACCAATGACTAAAGCTGCTTCCAATAAAAATTTCCTGTTTCCTCCTTAACACATTTGTCTGTTGCTTGCTTAAGAGTCACTGTGTTTCTATTGTATTTTTAGTTTCTAATGGCGTTTTTGCCCAATGGGGAATGTTTTTTAAAAATGATCTTCATAGTTTTCACACCACACCCACATATACTCAAATTTTAGAGCCTGTTAGACATCTCCAAAATTACCCAGGGGGAGATGTGAAGGTAACTGAAGTCATACACGTATGCTTTTCTTTAATATTTTAAACTTTGTTCATTGCTACATTTTTTTAAGGCATGAATCTGCCTTATAGGAAGAAACTTGCAATTCTGTAAGTCTTCCTTCCCTCTCCCACTATGGCATCTGAATGTAGAAAGCTTATTTTTAAGAAGTGGGTTACTTTTCTTCCTATTGCTTAGCTCCTTTTTAATCTTGGGGATGATGTTAGTACTTCACACTTTAATCAGTAAGAGAAGTAAATGAACTAGTAAGCATTCAGTGCTCAGACATTGCCTTGCACACCTTAGATGCTCAATAAAAGCCACTGATAGAAAACTGCAGAGATGGAAGCCTTTGAGTTGGACCTTGGAATGAGTGAAATTTGACCTTGAGTCGGTAGAAGGGGATGTGGGGTCAGAAAGCCACAGGGGTGTAGGTGGAGGTGAATACTGAGTTTACTTTGGCTAGGATGAGGGAGTACAGGGAACCAAGAAATGAGGCTGGATGCCGGGTGGAGAGCTCTGAAAGCCATACGAGGTACTTAGACTTGATTTTCTAGATAGTGTGTGAAGAGAAACTGTATAAAAAACTGTACCTCAGAAATCTGATAAGCCAGGGCTGGTGAATGACTTTTCTGAAGAGAAGAGGGACTGGAGACCTGGGGTTTTAGTTTGGAGACAAGAGCAAAAGTAATGGCCTCAGTTGGAGAGTGAAATTACAAACACATGTCTGACCTGAGTTGGATGTACACTTAGGTTCACTTCATGTTAACAAATAACATATGGATTTTTTTTTGAAAATCAATATTTGATTATTAGTACTTCGTCTTGACCTATTAGAAAAGATGGGAGTGAGGTCTAACAAGTATCCGTTAAGAAAAAAATCTGTGACAACTTTTTAGTTTCTAACTGAGATTTCCACTGAAGCAGTGAGTAAAGTTTGCATTTATCCTGCAGCCCAAGTTTTCAATGAGTAGACGTTTTTCACGTGAAATGCTTCATGTCTGAAAGAAAGACAGGTTGTCATTTATTTTAGAATGAAAAAAAAGAAGGACAAAATTACCATAATTCTGTAGTTCTTGAAAATACTGCTCTTAATTAAATTTCCTGCTAAAGGAGCAAAGCTTTAGCCTGTTCACATCATTTCTTTCTAACCAAGTAGCTCTTAACTGTATGGACTCCATCCACTTCTGGCTACTCAATAGCATTTATTTTCTTAGTGGGAGAAAATAAGAGAGTGACAGGATAGTATTATGCATCTCTGTGTTCCTGAAGCCACGTGGGACCTTCAATGAGTAAAATATGTGAAAATACTTTGTAACTTGTTAAATATTATGTAAATAGATGTAAAGGATTTTTTTAAAGAAAAAATATTGCATTTTTTATGCCTCTTAACGTTAAACCATTAACAAGAAAATCAGGAACATGGTCCAGATAAGTGGCAGAGTAACTGGTGGAGGGGTGTCTAATTAAGGCTTTTGTGTGTGTACTGACCTGGTATCATATCTGAATATAGTCAGAAAAGGATGGACAGTGAACATTTCTGATTCATCACCTCTTGTTAAGTAAAATACTAAGAAAGCAAGCATATTTACTTGTTAACAACCTGTCATTCAATGCCTAACAATCAACTGAATGAAAATAACCTCCTCTAAGGAATCAGAGCTGAGAGTTATTTAAAGTATTTTGAAAACAGCCTTTTTGCTTTCCATGTGTATCTTTGGGGACAGGGGACACAGAAATAGGGGAAAATGTAATTTTCTACTTTGAGATAAAATATTGAACTTTTTATGTTTTTCCCACAATACAGTTTTCTAGAAAGTGTTTGTTTTATAATTTTATTTAAAACTTCCCTAATTCCTTATAGAGAAAGGTATGGGTGTAAATATGTGGAAAAAAGTTAAACCTGGATAGTTACATGGGATTTTTATTCAGTGCAAACACTGACCGTCTTCCACATTCATGCCCCTCCATCCTTTACCCCAATTCAGTCCTAAACCTTAGGCATACTAATGCTACTTTATTTCCACTCTAGTGCTATAATTGTTTTTACTTTGAGTTATTAACTGGCTTGGATAATCAAGGATTGTTTTTCTCCATAAAGACATTCCTACTTGCTTTAATGAATTTGTATTTTTGTTCTTAAAAGGCCATGGAACTCATGAAATAATAGGTGAAAAGTGCTTTGAAACTGTAAGCAGAGTTAGTAGGCAAAAAAAAGATGTGTATACTTGTAACAGTGACCATCCATTTTCCATCTGGCTCAGAAGGGAGAGAGGCTTAATGAAGATTTGGTTCTGGGATGAATTAAGCAATGCTGAGACCTCTATAAAGGAGTGAATAGCCTTACATAACTAAGTACGCTAATGGTCCTAGGAAGGGGGGAAGAAAAGTTGAAAGGAATATTCTTTGTGCAAACGGAGAAACTAATTAATGTGCCCAGGACCTCCTGTGTGAGTCATTTTTAACAGGATTGTAAATATGTGCTTGAGTGAGTTTTAACATAGTGTTGTCAGTTGATCTTGGTCTTTCTGTTTATCAATACTGTCTACAAGATGTTTAACCACAGGGAAGGAGGAGCTTTGTTAGGCATTTCTGCCAGCCAGGACTGTGGGATTTATTGACTTCATGCCCTCCATGCGACAGGGCAGCCTGGGCTTCTCTCCTGCTGGTTAATACCTAGGTACCTAGAGTCATTTCATCACAAAATCTGAGGTTCTTAAAATGCGCAGCCCATGGGTGTCACAGGTCTGGGACTGTACCCCGTGAAGTTCTACTCTGGGATGTGGAACGTACAATGGATTTTTGTTGAAGTGAAAATTAAACCAAATTTTAGGCCAGCCAGTCTTAAAATGAGTTATCCAGTCCCTCTGCAAGTTTCTCATTGTACCCTGATTTTATAATCATTTATAACCCACTTCAGAAGCAGGACATCAAGAGAAGACATTGAAGAAGTCTGAAAGGGGTGCATAAACATTTAAACCATTTAAATTAAGTAGGCTTTTTGTTTGGCTTGTCTTTGTTTTCAACAGAAGTTGTGTTTTGCTTGTGTAATAAAATCAGTTTATTATGGAAAAAGAAGCATACTGAGATGCACATCGCTAACAGTTTTGTCTTTCTTCTGTTCTGTTCTAGAAATTGAAGCCAAGGAAGCTTGTGACTGGCTCCGGGCAACGGGTTTTCCCCAGTATGCACAGCTTTACGAGGGTAAGCCAGCATCGCCAATTTTTTTTTTAATTGGCATAATCATAATCTTTGGTTCACAATTATTATTGAAGTATGAGTTATTTTCAAACATTTCATTACTTAAATATTTCATTGAAAAACAATGTTTTAAGTGCCTAAGACACCCCCCAACTGCTCAAAAGAAAAGCTAGACCCTTCTTGGTGTCACACCCATCTGCTCCTGTGTTCTGTCCTCTGTCAAGAAGACCAGTGTCTTGAAACCACTATCATTTTCCAACTTGGATTTTATATAATTTTACTGCATTTCTTTAAAAGCACGTTTTTGCTTTTAGCTTTATAAAAGAGGTCTAGTCGATACATAATCTTGTGGGGTTTAATTTGTTTGCATAATACTGCAAACTCTGTGTCCCTGTAGTTCATTTGTTTTGACTGCTGTGTACTGCTCCATCATGTACAGACCATCACACAGTTTATTGCTATCCACACTCTGGCGGGCATTGCAAGTTGTTTTGTTTTTATGAACTGTGCAGTTTTGAACATTTCATACCTGTCTTCTGTAATACGTGAATAATAATTGATCTTGCATGCATACCTAGAAATAGAGTTACTGGGTAGTGAAGAATATGTATGTTCAGTTTTATAATGCAAATTTTTCTAAAGTACTTACACCTATTTTCACTCTTCCCAATATTATATAAAGATTCTGAGTATCCACGTGTACTTGTACTTAATACTGGCAGACTTCAATTTTTTGCCAATCAAATGGATGTAGAATGATACATAGTTTTTCACTTCATTTTCCTAATCACTAATGGTAATAAACAGTTGTTCATGTCATCCAGCCCTATGTGTTTGCTCTTTTAGTAGTCTCAGGACTATTGTTTTTGCAAGTTGATTGTGCTTTTTAAAATGATTTGCTAGACTTTTTATTCTGCATTCTAATCCTGTGTTAGTCGTGAATGCAGATATCTTTCCCTAATGATTTGCTAGACTTTTTATTCTGCAATCTAATCCTGTGTTAGTCGTGAATGCAGATATCTTTCCCTTGGTTTGTTGTTTGGAATGAGGCATTTCACCCTTCTTTAGGTTATCTTCTGATTAGTATCTCTTTTTCTGTGGCATTTAATTTTTTAATGAAGAAAAATGAAACAAAAATAAAATCAGCATCTGGCCTGATTTTTCTGTATGATTCTCTCATCTTCTTTTTAGTGCCCGGAGGATAGCTAGGATGAAGGCTGGCATGCCTGGCTGGTTCTCTGAACCTCTGGTTCCTGAGTAGGTAGCACGTGCTCTGCCCATGTTGAGATGAACATGCCACTCATTTAAGTGTGAGATTTTATTGTGCTCTGTATGCAATTATCTTAAAATAATTACAGCTGGGAACTAGACAATTCCATTCTGTAGAAAAATTTCAAACAAAGCTGGGTGAAGAGTGAAGTGATTCCTAAGTTACAATACCTGATCTTCTGCCTGGTAGCTCAGACTGACCATACTTTGCAGTGAAGATATAGTCTGAATTTAGTTTTAGACTCTAACGCTAAATTCTTACTGTTTTCCATTTCACAGAATATCTTCTTTCTGTTCTTTTTTTAAAAGTCATGTGGTTAATTCTGTACTTATTTGTGGTAGAGTTGCTTATCTTTCCTTTAAAGAGAATTTTTGACAGGTTAAAGGTGTTTGGTGGTGGGAGGGGGAAGAGCATTCAATTAGATTTCCAATTCACACTCTACTGGAGATCAGGGAAGATAATTACGTTTGCAGTGGCACTAAAGTGGCTGTCCTTTTGTTCTTTTTAAAAATTAAATTTCCTTCAATTATATCCATTTTTGGTGTTGATTTGCTCCTGGGTTGCACCTTCTGGTGTGTCTGTTTGCTAAGACCCTGTTGCAGTTCCTGTCTTACTTCTTTCACAGTCTTAAAATGTAGACTGCATTTTCCTGAGTGACTTTGGGGGTTCTCCTCCATGTTTGCATGGCCTTGGGAGCATAAGCTCACTTTTGAAGTGTACTATACATTGTTCGTGCTGTCATTTCCCCCTTCATCTTACAACTGTGCTGGGGGAGTGCAGCCACACAGCACACCACCCCACACATTCCTCATCTTCCTGTTGAGCTTTATTTTGGTACTTGGCAATTTATACTTCCTGCCTTTAAACCCAAGCTGGAAGTTGAGTTCAGAAAACTTCTTCACATCAGGAAACTGTCATCTTTTAGAAACCAGTTCTTTCAGATAAAGAGTCTAGACAAAAAAGAGAAAATTACTGATTTAATTCTTGCATTCCTACATTTAGTCACTACCAGATATTTTTTAAAAAAACAGAATTGTAGTTAATTTGGATCTGAATAGTAATCTTAAGTATAGCTCTTAGTTTACCAAGTTAGAAATTGCTACAATAACACAGTTGCTTTCTCACATATACTTAACAGGCATGTGAAATTTTGTTTGTGTTTATAGATTTAGGTGTTATACTCTGTAAGTACTGAAATACGTTCTTTAAAATCAGCTCTATTATTTAATAGGTAACGTTCAGAAGAAATGTCTCAGTTCCATTTATTGCATTCATTGTCTGCCTCCTCTTTGTTTCCATTATGATAGAGTCACTCATGTGGTTCAGAGAGACTTACTCTAAACACTAATGAAGAAGTGTAGCCATGTGATACCAAACTCTGTACATTTCTTCATCAGTCTTTGGACTGTAGCTACTTCCTTGCTCAGTGAATATTATCAGTCATCCAACTCTTGCCTTCAGAAAATAGAACAGGCTATAAATTAATGCTCTTTATGATAGTTTTCAATATTATTTTTTAAAAGGTACTTTGTTACCCCTAGAAAACAGATGAGTAGGAGTAAGGTGTTCCATAAAACCAGTGGTTCTGAGTTAGGAGCTAACAAAGTCCTGCTTCCTCCATGCAGATCAAAACCTAGATTACATCAGTTAACCCCCCAGCTCCCAAACTACTGCCTGCCATTTCAGTAGCCATTCCAGTATGCAGCGTTCGCCATTTTGAAGACCAAAGGGATTGTTTAGATGGTGGTAACCTGTGTGATGGCTTCTTCTCTTCCTGGCCACAGAGTTGCTGGTTCTGATACTGTATATGCATTCTACTGAGATGGTGCATTATTTACCCTGATGGCTGAACTTCAAATGAAATTGGCTTGCCTTTATCCAGTGGAATTTCAGAGCTGTTGTAAATTTCCACAGGGGGGTGTTTGTCTCTCTCCTCCCAGGTCCTCTTGGTCGTATTTATCTTTCTTTTTTTTTTTTTATTACAGAGATTTTTATTTCAAAACCTAGACCTCGAGAAGCATTAAATAATAAATAATATATAAATAATAAATGTAAATAAATAATATATAATATTATATATAATTTTAATTGATACATGGTACTCCATCTTTGCGGATCACAGTGTACCATTTTGGTACATGTATATAATCTACAGTGATCAGAACAGAGTAATTGGCATTTCTACCATCCCAGATTCCATATTCAAACTCCTCTCTTTTAGCCATTTTGAAAAATACGGTTGTTTTCACACAGAAGTATCTTAGTGTGCATTAGAAGTTCTTCCTCCTACCCAGCAACACCCTCTGTCTGTTAACCATCTCTCCACCACCATCCCATCTCCCTCACCCCACTTCCCTGGTTCTGGCAACCACTATTCTACTGTCTACAAGGGTCTTTTTAGGTGGTACAGAAAAGGAAATTCTTCATCTGGGTTGATTGTTTTCCTCCTTTCTGCTGTTCATTCTGATACAACTTCTCCTTTGTTCTGAGAGAATTTTGCTCTTCTAATGATTAAGGGATTTAGGATTCTATTGTTCTACAGTAACTTTATAGCTAGCCATTTGCACTAAGCTATATGAACTGAGAAACCATACTGGAGTGCTAATATTTGTTTTAAAATAGCATATCTTGAATTCTCTCTAGTTCTTGATGTCATGTGTATGGACTAGTTAGACTGAATACTACTTACCATTGATCTCGAGATACTTCCTTGGCCTCCTAGTGTTTGTTTGTTTGATTATTTCTGGTACCTCTGCCATGATTACAGAGGGCAAAGACATGCATTTTCTTTTAAGCCATGTTAAAGAGGAAATTTCCTATTGGATTCATTCTGGCTTAAATTATAATTTGTAGCAAGTATTTATTTCCTGCTTATTAGTTTAAAGGACAACAGTATTTTGAACCATTTCTTTGACAAGAAAACCACTTTATAGCTCTTTTAGGATGCAGATAGGGAAATGTCTTAAGCTGCGTTATAAAGAAGTTAATAGAGAATGAGGTGCTGTGTATACATACTAGCAAGAAGCTGGGTGCTCAGCAAATATATTTGTTTTTATTTTTCTTAATAGATCTCCTGTTCCCCATTGATATTACCTTGGTCAAAAGAGAGCATGATTTTCTGGACAGAGATGCCATTGAGGCCCTGTGCAGGTAAATGGACATGTTTTGAGTATTTTCATTTTTTCTTTTAGAACAAAGTACTCATCACCAAAGCTTGGTTTGCCTTTATTCTGAGCATGTCTGGTCTTTGATTAGCAAATAGTATGGTGACTTACTTTACTCTACAAAATAAAGTAAAATGCTGCTATGTAATAATGCCATTAAATAGCATCTACACTACCTTCAGAGGTACTCAGGTAGTACCATCCATATTTTGACACCATATATGGCTGTAGAAATAGGTATGTTTCCAGTGGGTTGTAATAGGGTTTTTTAAAGAGGTAATGTTATTGATTGCACAGCCCCAAGCAGGTAGCCTAACAATACAATAGGCATGGTTAAAAGTACCCTCCTTTGAATTCCAAGAGAGCTCCTCAGAACCTCCAGCTGCCTGAGCTAGAGTAAGGACAGGTTAAGTAGGCTATAAAATAACTCAGCACAGTCTTTAACATATAGGAGACAAGCAGTAATGGAGCACTGATGTGAACTGTGAATAAAACTGTCAGAAATCCCTGCCCCAACTGCTGGTGCCTCTTCAGGCCAGGGGCCAGCTTGTGGGTTTAGTGAAGTGGAAGCAATAAAACCCAAAGCAGGTGATGATGGGACTCTGATAATCCTCTCAAACCCTGTGTGGCATTTTTATTCAGGGTCGGTTATTCATTCTTTGTAATTATTCTCAAAACCCAAAAAGCCCTAACAGCTGAATTCTGGGGGAAAAAAATTGTCCATAGACAAGCTTCACATATGTTGATTTCATTGTAAGAGTAAAATAAATCCTCGTTTAATTTCAGTATTTATTTTAACTTTGAAAAACATCATTAAGGTGGAATGATACCCAGTATTGCTTTCCTCATTGTAGCAAAGAATGCAGTGACAGCTCTGAAAGCACTATTTTTTTGCCTTTTTTATATAATACAGTGTCATTTGAAGCAACCAGCTTGAACAGTGGTTTTGGAGGAAGATAGGTTATACATTTAAAAATGGTATAGGGGAAGGACTAAATTATATTTGCATGGTTTAAGAAGGAAAAGAAAAAGCCCTGTTACCCACAGAAATACTATCAACTTTTATAGTCCAATTAAATGACTAATTAGAAGGGTTCACGGAATGTACATGTTTTCTGAAAGAAACAGAATTCTGAGTCTGCAGTCTTACACTGAAGTGTGTAATATCATCGCTAGGTCATCTGGAATGAAAAAATGTCACCAATGCAGTTTGGGGAGGGGAAGAAGTCTGCATCTGGAATACAAAGTACTCCAGACATTTTTGAAATGTTTTCATGCTTAGCTATGGGAAAGAATTAATTTATTTTCAATTCTTCACTGGTGATAATGCACATGAATGATGCATCTTAGAAAACATCTAAGCATTGCGTCAGATTGTCCTTTTCACACATTTTAAGCCACTTAGGGAGTGGGCGCTCTGAACAGTATCAACAGCTTAGGAATTTCTGGGTCAGAGAAATATCACTACAACATTTCAGCCCGAAGAATCATGATTAAATTCTTGACTTTTTTTTTTAATAAAAAAAAGTTTGAAATGTAGTTTTCCTTATTTGAAGGGAAGAGTGTCCACTGCACTTTATTATTTTCCCTGACTCTGAGTTCCATCTGAGAAGCTCCCTCCCACAGAAGAGAATAAACCTGCTTCTAGATCTTCTGTGCAAAGAAAAGCCTAAAAGAAACTGGACCTTAAGTTATTTTCAAACTTGGCCATGGATTCAGGGTGGACTTCAGCTCTTTCTTACATGTGAAAGAATACATCATAGGTTAGTTGGGAGGAGGAAACACACTGATGGACGGAAAGTGCTTTAGCGATGACATGATCACACCCAGCTCGGCAGAAAGACTTGGGGTTGGATTTTCTTTTATAAAAAGAAACTCTAGGATTCCTAGTAATAGTTGTCAATTTCTTTGGAATGGAAAACCCAAAGGTCCCTGTCTTCATATTTGGTAGGCAGATGCTGTACCACATGAACCACACCCTCAGACCTTTAATTTTTTGGTTATTTTTCAGATATGTTGTGGTAAGATCTGGTTAGCTTTTTGCCTGGGCTGACCGCAAACCTTCACCTCTTGATCTTTGCTTCCCAAGTAGCTGGTATTATAGATGGTGTGCATTGGCAGCAAGTAATTTTTTAAAGCATTTGTACTAATTTCAAAAAACTATCTTTAAGAATCAGAGCAATTTTTATTTGTCAGGTCCTGCTTAGAAAGTTGCCCTTTGTTTCCTTTCTTCTTTTACTTTTCCCTGTTTTTATTTTGAATACAACAAGACCCAGATCCCTGCCTGTTCTGCTTGTTATCAGGAAGCCTGCAGCGCTGTACAGCAAAGCTCTTGATAGCCACCCTGGGTTCCCACCCCCTCTGAGCAGGGTACAAGTTGCCCAGGAGATAAGACCCACACATTCCTGTGGAGCTGAGTCCCGTGAGTGCCCTTGGGGTGAGAGTGACCAAGGCTTCTGGACAGATGGTCATTGATACCAATGCTTCAGCCACTTCCTTGAAGAATCCTACCTTGGATATATGCTCTTAGTTTTTTATAGCTGTCGTTAACATTTGTTTTAGAAACAATTGCAGAAGATGCTGTGTTTGAGTACCAGAGCCACCGTGTTTTAATCTTGTGGCCTTGGACAAGTTTTGTGACTCCTCCAAGCTCCAGTTCCTCACTTACAAAATGAAGATAAATCTAATATTACCCCACAGGGTTGTTGTGAGGATAAAGATGAGATAAACACATGAAGTACCTCCCATAGTGCTTCCTCTGGAGCAAGCCCCAGTTTGTCTAGCTAGAACTAGTTTTTTAACAAACTAACTGTGCATATTTATAAGGTATGATGTGATAATTCAATACAAGTATATATAACAAGTAATGATCAAATCTTGATAATAAGCATATACATCACATATTCAAAATCCTTCCATCTAGCTATTTTCAAATATATAATAAATTAATGTTAACTATAGTCACCCTACTTACTATGCCATAGAACATTAGAACTTATCCCTCCTTTCTGTTTTTGTGCCACATAACTGACCTCTCTCTAGTCCCCCTTCTACCTCTCCCATTCCGGCTTTAATAACCACCAGTCTGCTCTCTAGTTCTGTGACATCAGTTTCTTTTCTAACTAGACTACTACTTAACGCCAGTACAGACTCTGCAAGTAAAGAAGGTCCCATCAGTGGGAATCCTTTGGAGGTCCTAGGGGGACAAATCAAAACCACAGAAACCCTGGGGGATAACTCAGGGCTTCCGGGTTACAAGACTGTAGCTTGGCGCTACCAATATAAAAAAATAAAGTTGACCTTTATAAAACTAGCCTCCTGGGTCTTTTTTCATTTGACTCACATCTATAGTTTGTGAAATAAACCCCTCCCTATCCTCCTAGGCCTCCATGCCTAGTAAATTTGGTTATAAACACCACTCAACCATTAAAGCCCAAATGGAGTCAAGTGGGTATTTGATTACAGGTTTGATTAATGAAACCCAGACCTAAGACTAACTGTAACCATTCTGGATTCTTTAAATCTTGACAACATTTGAGAACTCAAAACAGTGGGTGTAAGTCATTGAAGTAATTGATGTCCCTCAGAGAGGGACCTTGCACCCCTCATTTTTAAAGTCTGCAGACTCGTTCTCAGCTATTTGTTTTCTTTCCCTCCCCATCCACAGAGAGAATTTTTCTGAACGTCGGTACTCTATGTTATCTCTGTTTATTCTATAAACAGGCTTCACATAATCTAGGAAATCAAAGGCAGGCTTATCAAGCTGGAAGAAATACTTTCTATCCTGATGCATCAAAGTTGTCAGACAAGTTGCAAGAACAGAATCAGGAAGGGAAAGCCTGGAGAAGGGTACATGATCAGTTTGAATTGGAGTGAATTAAATTTCTTATCCCATGAAAGTGTAAGAACTATAATTTTAGGAAAACTGGCAGGGAGATTCACAATACATACAAGACAGCAAGCAAACACATTAAAAGTTCATCTTAGGCAAGCTCAGTGATGGTCATTTGGAAAATATTGGAAAACATTGGGTCCCAGAGGGCTGTCATTCTCACTTTAATTGGCCAGTTCATGTCATGTATCTAAAGAGTATTTTTTTCAGCCAATTCCATTACTTCCCAATGACTTTGTAAGTATTTCATTTTAATGAAGCTAAATTATTTCCTTAATTTGATTAATTGATTGATTGAGTCATTTATTTTTATGGTGCTGGAGATAAACCCATGGCCTCAAACATGCTAGCCAAGTGCTCTACCACTCAACTGCACCCCAGCCTTATTTTCCTAATTTTAAATTGGCATTACCATCGAGCAATCGGGTAGATGGTATTTTTGTAATGACTTGCTTTTTTAAAGAAGTCTCTGTTACTCATCAAAACATTCACAGTTGCAGTACAACTTCTATTCCAAAGAAGATTCTGATCTAAATGATTTTAAAATCAGTTTTGATCCTTGAGGTTGTAATATACAAATTTTTTAAATAGTCATTTGTGCTATATACCAAACATTTTTTCCTGAACAGGAAGTTATATAAAGAATTAGGTATCAAAGAATTTCCTCTCCGTATAAGAAACTAAAATTTTCAAATGGCTGTGAGATAATTACTTGTCAGAGGTAACTAAAGTGTGTGTGTGTGTGTGTGTGTGTGTGTGTGTGTGTGTGGTGTGTTTCGTTCACATCTTGATGTAAGATAGAATATACTGTTTAATTTGCCAACAGTTCTACTTTGTTTCTTGTTGCTGTTCTTGTCTCTCAAGAAAGGAGACTCAGGCCCTTATTTCTTAGATTTGAGTATAGCTACCTAGTGGCTCAATCAAGGTGATCTTGAAAGAACACATTTTCTCATTACTGTTTATTCCATAAAGAACTTGAGGCACCTAACAGTGCCATTGCAGTATGCGATTTTACTATAAAATAGTAAAAACTTAAATTAAAAGGAAAGCTTACCAAAAAAGGTATTTGTTAATGACTCGCTTTTTAAAGATGTTTCTAATATTCATCTAAGTTATTGAGACTGAGTTCAAAGAAACGCACGTGTCAATTATTTGTAAAAAGTATTTATCCATCTACTAGCGGTTTCCTTTATTGCTAATGTTTTCTCTTTGCTCTGTAGGCGTCTAAATACTTTAAACAAATGTGCGGTGATGAAGCTAGAAATTAGCCCTCATCGGAAGAGAGTGAGTATATGAATTGTATGTGAGGGGATGAGTGGACAAACCAAAAACAGGATTATTTGTTTTGTAATAGGTTTAATTTCTCAGAAGCTTAATTTCTCATTCCCAAAGTCTCTCCATTCACTGTTAAAATCCAGTCAGGTTTACCCAATATTGTGTGGCCTTATATACTTGAAACCAATAGTGGAACCTGCCAGTAGATTACTTTGTTTACTGTTTTTGACCTGAAGAAATCATCTATTCTTTTTTCTAATAAAAAACCGCCCACTGCAAAATTAAGGGATGAGGCTTAAGGATGAATCCCAGAGGATTTGACATTGCGTTCTAGAGAAAGTAAAGCTAACATTCTTTGGGAACTCTTCTGTCTTCCAAGATATAATGGTAATTACATTTCAAAGCTGTCAAGATGAAAGCTGGCTGTCTTGGGGGATATTGAAGAATAATAAGAGATTTGGAGGGAGGAAAGGAACTTGAGGAGGAAGAGGACAGGGCAGGAAATCCCACACACTCCAGTCAGTGGTGGCACATAACTGAATGGGGTGGTGTTTTTTTTTACATATGAGTTGTGAGGCCCTTTTATGAGATCTTAGGAGAAGTGGTGGGTGTAGTACTGGGAGTGAGTGTCACAAATTAGGGTAAACAGGACTAAGTTTGGTCGAAGAACATAGTTCTGACAGTTCAGAGTACAAATTTTAATTATCTGAGAGTCCCTGACCTGCCAAAGGTTGCCTTCTTGGGGAGTTAAACCCTTAAACAAATGAGCTGTGCAGAAGAGTCTCCAAGTCAGTTTTTCATGCTCTCATTGTCCTGTGAAACTGGGGTCATACGATATTTTCCACACCAGTGACAAAAATACCTATCATACTCCATTGTGCTTTTTGATACCCTGCCTAAAAAGCCAAGATGCACTAATCTATGACAGGATATCCCTAAGTCCTGCACCTAAATCAAGCATAATCAGCAGTGGTGTCACTTATTGTTTACGAGTGCTCCATGAAGTAGGGAAGGGGCATTTGTTAAATTGACTGGAGCATGTCTGAGGTTGAAACTGCCCGGGACAGTCCTGGTATGAGCTCTGGTGGGGGTAGGGGAAGAAAAAGACCAGGTAAAAGGCAACATGGTATTGAATTGAAGACGTGATGGCTCACCTTGCTCGGTGGCCATTTCTCTAGTAGGAGATCTTGATGTTCTGGGGGGGGGGGGGGGGCTAGATATTGCCACTCTGTTTACTGTGTGAAAACTGCCTTTTTAATTGCAAAAGAGAATATAAACACATTCTGTCAGCAGACAGCCAAGCTGGAGGCAGCCCAAAGGGAGTCCCACCGTTGCTGACTCCAGTTCAAAATATTTTGCATGCCTGGAATTTTCAACCATCTCAGAGGTTTCCTCTGAGCAATTAGTGAACAGCCTATAGACCCAGAATTTCCATAAAATAGCTCTTATTTAGCTGGCAATACTTGGCCAGGTTTTCTCCTGTTAAATTCTTTAAATATATCTTTGTTATTAATAAAAAAAAAAAAAAAAGAGGAAAGAAAGGAGTGAACACTGGGGTCCTTTTCTAAAGCAGCTCATCACCCTTAACTTGTGCCCCACCCCTTGCTGATGGTTAGTCCCAGTGTACGCATTGCTCCTTTCTGCCTTTGCAGAGTGAGGATTCGGATGAGGATGAACCCTGTGCAATAAGTGGCAAATGGACTTTCCAGAGGGACAGCAAAAGGTGGTCCCGGCTTGAAGAGTTCGATGTCTTTTCTCCAAAGCAGGATCCAATCCCTGGGTCCCCAGATGATTCCCACCTGAAGAATGCCACAAGCCATGAGAGCATGCTGACAGACCTCAGCGAGTGCCAGATGTCTTCCCTCCGCAGCCTCAGCAGTACTGGCAGTGTTCCCACCCACGTCCCCCATGGTGGGGATGCTGTGACAACCCGGACTAACTCCGTCATCAGCGTCTGTTCTTCCAGCCACTTTATAGGCAATGATGACTCTTTCCGCAGCCTGCCATCTCCCAAGGAACTGTCCAGCTTCAGTTTCAGCATGAAAGGCCATGAGAAAAATACCAAGTCCAAGACGCGCAGTCTGCTGAAAAGGATGGAGAGCTTGAAACTCAAGAGTTCCCACCACAGCAAACACAAGGCACCCTCCAAGCTGGGGTTGATCATCAGTGGGCCCATTCTGCAGGAGGGTATGGATGAGGAGAAACTGAAGCAGCTGAACTGTGTGGAAATCTCAGCCCTCAATGGCAACCACATCAATGTCCCCATGGTACGAAAAAGGAGTGTGTCTAACTCCACACAGACCAGCAGTAGCAGCAGCCAGTCTGAGACTAGCAGTGCTGTGAGCACACCCAGCCCTGTCACCAGGACACGGAGCCTCAGTGCCTGCAACAAGCGGGTGGGCATGTATCTAGAGGGCTTTGATCCTTTCAATCAGTCTACATTTAACAACGTGATGGAGCATAACTTTAAAAACCGTGAGAGCTACCCAGAGGACACGGTGTTCTACATCCCTGAAGATCACAAGCCTGGCACCTTCCCCAAGGCTCTCTCCAACGGCAGTTTCTGTCCTTCGGGAAATAACAGCTCTGTGAACTGGAGGACTGGAAGCTTTCATGGCCCTGGCCATATTAGTCTAAGGAGGGAAAACAGCAACGATAGCCCTAAGGAACTAAAAAGACGAAATTCCTCAAGTTCCATGAGTAGCCGCCTAAGTATCTATGACAATGTGCCAGGCTCCATCCTCTATTCCAGCTCGGGTGACCTGGCAGACTTGGAGAATGAGGACATCTTCCCTGAGCTAGATGACATCCTCTATCACGTGAAGGGGATGCAGCGGATAGTCAACCAGTGGTCAGAGAAGTTTTCAGATGAGGGAGACTCAGACTCGGCCCTGGACTCTGTCTCTCCTTGCCCATCATCTCCAAAACAAATACATTTGGATGTGGACAATGACCGAGCAACACCCAGTGATCTGGACAGCACAGGCAATTCCCTGAATGAGCCTGAAGAACCTGCTGACATCCCAGAAAGAAGGGACTCTGGGGTTGGTGCTTCCCTGACCAGGTGTAATAGGTAAGAGCCATGTTCCTCCCTCCAGAGTGAGGAGAGGGTCAGAAAGGGACTGCTTCTGTGGAAACAGGGTGAAGTCTGGCATTCATAGCCATATAAACTCCTAAGGAAAATGTCAGACCAGAAGATCCCAACATTGAGGAAGAAGGGGCATTGTTTAATGCATGGACATTGAGTTGGGGGGATGAGAAAAGTGGAGGTGGAGGGCCGTGGTGGCTGCACACCAATACAAGTGGCCTTAATGTCACTGAACTGTACACTTAGAGATTGTTAGAATGGTAAATTTTATCTTACATACAGTTGGACCTCCTTATCCATAGGTTCTGTATCTGTGGATTCAACCAAACACAGATGAGACGTATTTGAAGAAAAACATGTCTGTACTGAACATATATAGACTTTTTTCTTGTCATTATTTCCTATTACATTGTAGTAGGTATTAAAAATAACTCAGAGATAAAGTAAGTGGGAAGATGTGCATAGATTTTGAATAAATACTATGCCATCTTCTCTAAAGGACTTGAGCATCCTTGGATTTGTGTGTCCCGGGGGTGCCGTGGAGCCAGCCCCCCTGCCCAGATACCCTGAAATGACTTGTTCATTTCACAGTGTGGGGAAAAAGACTGGGGTGTGACTTGAGTCCTCTTGGTTCCTGACTTGCCAATGGAGCAGTCTATGGCTGGTTTTTCCTCTGCCTTCTAAGAAGCCTTTGTGCTCACTCACTTTGCCCCATTCTCTTCCAGGCACAGACTGAGATGGCACAGTTTCCAGAGCTCTCACCGGCCGAGCCTAAACTCCATATCGCTGCAGATTAATTGTCAGTCTGTAGCCCAGATGAACCTACTACAGAAATACTCGCTCCTGAAGTTGACAGCCCTGCTGGAGAAGTACACGCCTTCCAACAAGCATGGTTTTAGCTGGTAAGAGCAGAAACAGCCAAGATGTAACTGCAGGTGATGTTGGTTAGCTCCTTCAGGGTGTTCCAATGCCAAGCATGTGACAGCTTTATCCTTTGTTAGTATCATTAGTCTCTCATCTCACGCAGTCAGACTGCATTCTTGAAGTCCCATATAATACTCCTGAAGGCAGTGGAGTTTCGGGGAAATTATCAGCAGGATTGATTGATTTTCGGCTCTTTGACAGATTGCTAGTTGATGAGGGTGATGATGCATCACTCACATCACATTGTACAGTCATCTTTTTTCCAGTGGTGGGAATATCCCACGATAGGTAAGTATGTGTACAGTATCAGGTCATATTTATGGAAGGAAGGAAAGAAAAACATTAAAATATTACGAGATCATCTTTGAAATGCTTGATGTGCATTACCTGGCCGTTTTTATGCACGGTTTTAGATATCTTTTTGTTGCTCCTTGTGGTACTGGTGATCCAGCCCAAGCTTTGTGCCTGTTCAACACATACTTTTACCGCTGAGCCTTATCCTCAGTCCTACAGATCATTTTCAACATGAACATTTGCACTGTTGTTCAAGTCTACCAGTGCTAAAGAACTTAGGCTATTTTTTTTCCCAGCAAAGATGCTCCAAGTGAATAATAAATTTAAGGAGTTCACTAGAAAACATCACAGATCAATGCATAAGTAAAGGTGAAGTGGACTGGATGAACGCTTCATAATTGCTTTTAAAAATCCAGCCTTGCATGTGTAAGTGAGATGTAGACCTTTGGCTGCATGGGTCATGGATGTGACCTATGTGTGTACATAGCGATTCTTCTACTCTTACTGCAAAACCAAGAATTGCCTCTGGATGGATTTCTCAGTGTATTTTGCAATGTCAGCTGGGTATCCTTAAGTCTTTTCACTCATCAGAGTGCTTGTTATCCAGTTGTTATGAAAACAGAAGCAGCCCATTGCACTAGAACACATTGTAGCAGAGCAAAGTTACTTGAGAGAGTCTTCAGACAAAGTAGCTGGCTCTCCTCCCTCCTGGGGATGCACAGTGAGTGTATGCAGCATCAAAGTACCTCCTGAGCAAAAGCAGTTATTATGTGAGCCTCGCTAAATACAGAAGTTGTTTGTTCTAAATGACAGAAATAAGTATTGACCAGTTTAGTCTCACATGCTTCAGATTCTCGGTGAGGAGTGTAATGTGTTCTTTCCACATTCCACAGCCTGGCTTTTCTCCCCCAACAAAGCGAGTATTATGCACACTTGTAGCCATAATACCATATGCTTAACTGTATGGAAATACAAATTTGGCTCTGCTCTTTGGCTTTACCTTTCCTAGAGCTATAAACGGTAACTGTCATGGTCATGGGTAAGCACTCACTCAGATGTCAAGGTGGTCAGCCTTCTGTAGTGTTCTGTGCGTAGAGTAATATTTTCCCTGCTGGCTATTTAAAACTGCATATTTTGGAGTCTCCTTTCTGAGCTGCCCAACCCCTTCCCCACCAAACCCTCAAGAATCCAAAAGTCCATATTTCTTGATTTCTGGTCAGTTTTTCCAGTGAGTCAAAACCAAATATAAAAGCCTGGCATTGTGGAATCTGTGTAGAAGGGAGAAATTCTGCCCAAAGTCCCTTTCCTGTTTGGCTCTGCCCTTTCTTGTCTCACTCAAGAGGGGTCATTTGTAGAGCTCAGATGTCTGCCTGACAGCCTTAAATGCGTGACATTGGTTTCCTGCTATTACGAATACTGGGGGTGGACCTGGTTTCAGGATTTCAGAGAGCTTGGGGGAGCCCCACAAAACCCCCATTGTTTCTCTTCCATGTTCCCTTAGAAACCTAAAGATGTTATATTCTCCAGGGTCATCAGCAGCAGAATTTATTTGACTTCAGGTTGTGCACTGTTAGCTCTGGAGTTGGTTCTTCTTATATTAGACAATGTCATCTATTCACTGTTTTCTCATGCAGTGTTACCCAGATTTTTTTTTTTTTTTACATGATTTTAGATCTGATCCAGAAGAGATTCTTACCTTTTCAGGACAGAGGGAAACTGTTTTTCAAACTCTTGTTAGAAGCACCCAATTAGGGTATTACATGTTTTCCGTTCTGTTCCTTCATGTATTATCATCTTACAAAGATGTCCACCATCTCCCTTATGACTATGAAACCCAGCTGTCAAGGTTAACGTGGAAAGGAAAACTGCCAACTGAGAAAATATGTCCAGGCCTCAGCCCCAACTCTTAAAAGATGTAGCACAACACTGTTATACAGAACTTTCAGTGGAGGTGGGAGTGCTTTGTATTTTCATAGTCTAATGCTGCAGCTACTGGCCACTTGTGGCCTGTGAGCATAGAAAATGTGGCTGGTACAACTGAGGAACTGAAGTGGTCATTTTGGTTTAAATAGCCACCATATTAGCACAGATCTAGGGCACACAGGATTTGCCTGCAGAAGTGGACAAGTACAGACAACTAAACATATCCCCCCCACCATATTCTTTAAACAGGGCTGTGCCCAAGTTCATGAAAAGGATCAAGGTTCCAGACTACAAGGACCGGAGTGTATTTGGCGTCCCTCTGACAGTCAATGTGCAGCGCACAGGACAACCTTTGCCTCAGAGCATACAGCAGGCCATGCGCTATCTCCGCAATCATTGTCTGGATCAGGTGAGAGCAGCTGCCTCTGGTCCCATTTTGTCACAGGAGCTCAGCTTCGTGCTACTTTCTGTAGTTTTGTAGTGAGGATGTTGCATCCATCTCGACACCTAATATCTTTCTTCTAAAAGGTTGGGCTTTTCAGAAAATCAGGAGTCAAATCCCGAATTCAGGCTCTACGCCAGATGAACGAAAGTACCACAGGTTGTGTTAACTATGAAGGACAGTCTGCTTATGATGTGGCAGACATGTTGAAGCAGTATTTCCGAGATCTTCCTGAGCCACTCATGACGAACAAACTCTCAGAAACCTTTCTACAGATCTATCAATGTAAGTGTCTTGGTTCTTACTGAGATTATTGGAGTTTGGGGGAAGTAGAGTCAACCATAGCTTGCAGCTTCTTTGGACAAGAGGACCCATATGGTGATCTGTTCAAAACATGGGTCATTGCTTTCTTCCTTGTCTCCTTTTTTATGGAGATTTCTGTATACTTACATATTAACTAGAAAATAATAAATTTCCCTTATCATCAGTCTAAGGACTGAAGCACTTTTACAATCTGACCCAGTTACTTCTTTCATTTGTTAAGATGCTTAAATGAAGAACAGGTACTAAGATCTATACTCAGTTTCTCTCTCTTCTCTCTCTCTCTCTGCCTTCTGTCTTGTCTACAGAAATTTCACTTGCTTCACAGCTCTCTCAGGGCTGTTAACATTTAAAATTTCACAGGTGTCTGTGTGTTTTATCTCACTGTAAAATGAATAAATAATCTTTTTTTTTTCTGTTATTCATTGCTGTCCCTGCCAGAAATACTTGGGAAAATAATACCCATGCCCTTCTCACTTTTAAGCAAAGCTTAAAGCAAACAGTTGTCGAAATGAATGATCAAAATCAGGATTACAGCTTTTACAGCTTTGTATTTTTCTTGGCTCAGAGTGGTATTACAGCAATGTGATTTAAAAGCAGCATCTTTTAGCACTGAAATTGTCTTTAGAACTGATGCATTGGACTTCATTTTATGAGAAATGGAGTTGCTCTGCATTATTTCATTATTTGTTTCATCCTTTCATATTTTGTGAAAACCCAGGTCACATTTTCCCCACTAAGGTATTTGTTATGTATTGTAACCATGGAGCTGTTTAATCAGCCTGTCTTACGGCTGCATTTGAGTGACTTGATTTTTCCACCACGTGCTTTTAAAGAGGTCTGCCTACTAAAGGAGACCTGAAGGTTAAGTTTTTCATAGGCTTATTTTAATTTTAATGTATTTGCATATTTATATCTACAATAGTATATCAACTTTCTAAGACTTAAGAAATTACTAGTTAAATATGTCTGTTGCTTCAACTGAGTTTTTGACAGCTTTTCCCATTTCAAGGATGAGGAAACTAGTCAAAATTATGATGGTCCCTAGAGATGCTGAACCCCTTACAGTTACAGTTAAGAGATCTCAGTTCCTACCCTCTGGACATACCTCAAATAAGACTTTTCATTGAAACTAATGAAAAGTTCGTGCATATAATGATTTCAATAATTGAGGTTATAAATTAGGAATATCTAAAGAGTGCTTAGAAGAAACATTTATTCTGTAAACTAAAGAACACATCATCCAGAGCTTAACTCTGAGGTAGATTTAGGAGTGTATTAGTACTGTGGGTGTTTAAAAATGTTTAACTCCTCCATGAGGCAGGAAATACTTGAGGGTAGTAACGCCGGTGGCAGCCCATAATTTCTTCCTTATTAACCTCTAGTATGCTTTCTGCAAGTGCTTGTTCAGTGTTTGATGCTGCTGTTTGCTTTGGGACCTGTCCTTGCCTTGTACATGGAAAATCACTGAGCTGATGGGGGAAATGCTTTTACCCTGCAGATGTGCCCAAGGACCAGCGCCTCCAGGCCATCAAGGCTGCCATTATGCTCCTGCCTGACGAGAATAGGGAGGTTCTCCAGACGCTTCTCTACTTCTTGAGCGATGTCACAGCAGCTGTTAAAGAAAACCAGATGACTCCGACCAACCTGGCTGTGTGCTTAGCACCTTCCCTCTTCCACCTCAACACCCTGAAGAGAGAGAATTCTTCTCCAAGGTACAGGTCAGAAGGAAGGAACTCACACATACTGTGTTCTTCAGACTGAGGGAGCTCACATTTCTTCCTAGGGCTGCCCTGTGTTCCTTTTGAATTCTTACCTGAGCCAAGTAGAAATGGGTTAGACCTCCTTGTGTGCTCTGCCTCTTTTCCTCTCAGTCTTTTCTAGAAAGTGTGACTTCGTAGACAATCTCATAACAACCAGATTTTAAAAGAGAACATTATGGGTTCATGCTTTGCCACAGCCAGTATTTACTCCTAAAAGTGTCATCATACTTTCTGCCAGCAAAGAACTATGCAGATTTACTGGCCTAAAAAACTGTGTGGATTATCTCTGCTGTCTTTGCCTCTGTATGGTTAATAAAGCCAAACTTCCAGCCTATGCCCAAAATTGAAATAGCCAGGTCCCAAAAAATGAAGGGTAATGTAGAGCCTCAAAGTAGCTCACAATTGGCCTAAGCCAATTGTTTACAAAATTTCTGCCTAGAACACAGATATACAAGATGGGAATGGCTGTGGAAAAAGTCAAGGAATATGAAAAATATAAATGCTGCTATTTGCTCTGCACTTACTGTGTGCTAGGCACAGGACTCTTCTGTTTCCTTTGGTCATCACATTTATCGTCATAATAATCATGGAAGTGAATATGCTGTGAACGTCTCCTTTCTCACATGAGGAATGGAGAGGTTAAAGGCAGGTTAATGAGTTCAGTAACTTGCCCATACCTGACAGAAAGAAATGTCAGAGCAGGCTTTCCCTTCTTATATGACTCTTTTGTATGAAGATCTTGTATTCAGGGTGTGAGGCAATAATGATTAACTGGACTTAACCCGCAGTGTACATCCATGCAGCCTTTTCCTCAGTGCAAAAGGAGCCTGAAAAGTATTTCACACAAGGCCTAGTTGTGCTAGCTGAATTCAGCTTTGTTCCTGAAACCCATACAATGCTTGAATATCCTTTTAAGTAGTACAGGTTTGCTGAGGCATTCCAACTTTAATAGGATAGAGAACTAGAGATGCATAGAAAAAGATCAGATAAGAGTAAGACAACACCCTAGGAAACAATCAATTTGTCCCCACCTGTGAGAGAATCCTGTTTATTTAACCAGTAAGGATAGTGGCTCTTAACACACATCCTTCTGAAGCTGCCTTGCTCCCCAGCACAGACATGGCTCCTTAGAAGCTCTGTTACTGAAGACAGGAACCTGTTTAACAAAATGGCTTTAAATAGCCTAGATTTCATTTAAAAATATGTCTTTTTTAGTGTTTTATGTGTTGTTGATAACACTCTGAGAAACTGTGGTGAACAAAGTAAAAGCTCTCCCTCTCTCTCGAACCACTTAACTATAAATAGACTCAGGGAATTTTTTTTTTTTTTCCTTTTTGAGCTTCCTTTAATAATACATTGATTAAGAGTGTATACCACAGTACCACAAAAATATATATATAAATATTTGACTCATTCCTCTCTCTTATTTCTTTTACCTAGGGTAATGCAAAGAAAACAGAGTTTGGGCAAACCAGACCAGAAAGATTTGAATGAAAACTTAGCTGCCACTCAAGGGCTGGCACACATGATTGCTGAGTGCAAGAAGCTCTTCCAGGTAAGGAGTTGGAAAGCTTGGCTCCTATAGTCTTGAAACATACTTGTCAGCACATCTTAGCGAAAGGTCTTTTCCACAGCTGTGAGATAATCTGGAAATAATGTCTATAAATACATCGCCTGAGAGTGTCCCCCGTGTGCACATGCATGTGTGTATTTATGTATATACACATCAGTTAGTAATACTTAATGAGCCCTTAGTTAAATCCCTTTGTTTAAAAAATGAAAGCAACAAATTAACTGGAACTAAAATTCTGTATCTGAGAAACCTGCCTTCATCAATGCAAACCCTGTTTTAGTCAATTGTCTTCCTACTCTAGCTTTGCTAATAATAATATACATAGGAATAAGTGTTTTAGATATGTTGTGAAAATTATCCACCCATGTTCTTATGACACTACATAAAGTCAGTTGGGAATAGGTTGGGGTTAGGCTCCCTGTCCTACCTTGAGGATCCAGGCCATTGCTTCTGCTTATGGGCACTGAGAATGAACACTCTTGGATTCACTGCCTTTTTTTTTTTCTTTTTCTTTTATTCATATGTGTATACAATGTTTGGGTCATTTCTCCCCCCTTCCCTCACCCCTTTCCTTCCCACCCCTCCCCCCCCCCGCCCCCATACCCCCTCGCTACCAGGCAGAAACTATTTTGCCCTTATCTCTAATTTTGTTGAAGAGAGAGTATAAGTGATAATAGGAAGGACCAAGGGTTTTTGCTGGTTGAGATAAGGATAGCTATACAGGGAATTGACTTGCATTGATTTCCTGTGCATGTGAGTTATCTTCTAAGTTAATTCTTCTTGATCTAACCTTTTCTCTAGTTCCTGGTCCCCTTCTCCTATTGGCCTCAGTCACTTTAAAGTATCTGCATTATTTTCTCTGTATTGAGGGCAACATATGCTATCTAGTTTTTGGGATGTCTTACCTATCCTCACACCTCTCTTGTGTGCTCTCACTTTATCATGTGATCAAAGTCCAATCCCCTTGTTGTGTTTGCCCTTGATCTAATGTCCGCATATGAAAGAGAACACACGATTTTTGGTCTTTTGGGCAGGCTAACCTCACTCAGAATGATGATTCACTGCCTTTTTGTCTTTTGTGTTCCTCTCAGGTTCCTGAAGAAATGAGCCGATGTCGCAATTCCTATACTGAACAAGAGCTAAAACCCCTCACACTGGAGGCATTGGGACACCTGAGTAACAATGAATCAGCAGACTACAAACATTTCCTCCAGGACTGTATGGATGGCCTGTTTAAGGAGGTCAAAGAGAAGTTTAAAGGCTGGGTCAGCTACTCTACTTCTGAGCAGGCCGAGCTGTCCTATAAGAAGGTAAGTCTTTGTTGATTTCTTATGATCAGGACTTGGGGTCATCAGGGATAAGACTCTTCCCAGCTATAATCTCTGTGGGAATCTACGGCCCAGACCATTTTGAGAGTTGGACAGCCAGGTGATTCATATTCACAGGAAGACTAATACCCATTATTAACATTTGGGAGGATTTCCATCTATTTCTTATGAAATCCTTTGTTTCCACAGAACACATTGGAATTCCCTGGGTTTAAAGGACCATTTTAGGACATGCTTAGATTTTTCTATAATTTGATGAGAATCCCTTTTTGCTCCCATCTAATCTTATCCTCTACTTTAGGTATCCTGAATGGTTCAGCATGATAGGTTTGTAGAGGGATTTGTTGATACATCCCTACCACCTTCAAAATAAAGAGAATACTCTGTATGGCTTATACAGGCTTTGAGTGAGAATAAATGAGTTATCTTTTTTTATCACAGTCATCCTGATACAGATCTCAGAAAAGCAAATGTCTTGATTCTGATCAAGGTTGGTGCCAGCTATTTTGTTTGCTTTCTGGCCTGCCCTTGAATGTTCTCAGAAACTATTACTGTCAGATTTATTAGTCTGTAAACACAGGGCCATCTCCTTCACTAACAATTCGCCTTCAATGTCATGGTGCACATGTCTTGTCTTAGCACTGGAAAATTCATCATCTTTTCAGGTGAGTGAAGGACCCCCTCTAAGGCTCTGGAGGTCAACCATCGAAGTCCCTGCTATGCCTGAGGACATCCTAAAGCGCCTATTGAAAGAGCAGCACCTCTGGGATGTAGACCTGTTGGATTCAAAAGTGATTGAAATCCTGGACAACCAGACTGAAATTTACCAGTATGTGCAAAACAGTATGGCACCCCACCCTGCTCGGGACTACGTTGTGTTGAGGTGAGATATCCCAGATTGATTACTATGACAGAGATGACTAAATCTCAGAACTAGCCTGTATGTCAACCAAATCTTACAAGACAGTTTACACTATTAAAATAAAACGCAGGCCTCCAGAAAAATGGTAGATCCTTCTAAATATAGAAAATACATCTACATTTATTCCTGCAGGGTATTTCACTGGAAATAGTTTGAACTCTTTTAGAACTGAGCTCAGCTAGAAAGGCACAGTCAAATGAATATGTTTCTTGGTAATGAATTTCTGCCACTTTTAGGATAAATTTTCTGGTTAGAAACAGCTAGTGAATGAATGAGCCAGGAAATAGTATTTGAGTCCCAAGTGACATGTGGTTAAGGCTGATTTATATGTAATCCACAAATTCTCTGGAGACATTATTGAAAGAGGAATTCCAAAAATCTTTGAGGAAATGTCACAACACTCATCCAGAAGTTTTCAGTGCTTTTTTGGATGTCCACATTCTAAAACATTCATGAAATGTTAAAAATGGCTTTTAGCAACACTTCAAATTGGTTCTCTTTCCCAGGAGGGGACTATCTGAGCACATACACCCTCCGTAGAAGTGTTCCTGGGTTGAGTTGTTGATCTTGTAGCTCATGCACAGTGCTTTGAAGGATGCTCCATTTACCAGGCATGGGTCACTGAGCCTGGTCCCTCCTCCATGAGTGAGGTACCATTTTCACCTTGGCTTTCAGGAAGTCCCATTTTACCCTCTGCTTTTGTCTCTACAGAACCTGGAGGACTAATTTACCCAAGGGAGCCTGTGCCCTCTTACTCACCTCTGTGGATCACGACCGGGCACCTGTGGTGGGTGTGAGGGTTAATGTGCTCCTGTCTAGATATTTAATTGAACCCTGCGGGCCAGGGAAATCCAAACTCACCTACATGTGCCGAGCTGATTTAAGGTACATTCTGATTCTTTTTGTCATGAAGAAGATTCAGATTTTTTTGCCTGATGCAAAGATTGGCTTGAGGGAATACATCACTGTGTCTTGGTGACTTCTTGAAGAGTGGTGCCTATATAAAGCCACCTTTATGCTTGCTGGTCGTTACATATCTCTTTCCTAAGCTGGATTCCTTAGAAAATATGTTACTAGAACACTGCAAATTTGGTGGTTCTCCGATGAATTTAACACCACAGGACATGGTAAATTTTTTATGTTTGAACCAGCAAGAAAATGTTTCTCGTTTTACAATTCAAAGATGTTGGAGTACTATGGCATGCACTTGCACTTGTAGTAATTGGTCACATCTGAAAATGAGTGGAATATGGCAATACAGACCAATTAAAAAAAAAAAAAAACGAACTTTTGAAAGCTCTAAATTCTCCCTTGCCATCTTTCTATGAGTTGTCCATGTGACCTGTTTTTCTGTGACATATGCCAAAGCTTTCCTGGGCAGTTCATGCCTTACTCAGTATGTTAAAAAAACCTCTGGTCCCAAATGTAGAGTGACCATGGCCAGTGGCTAACCAGAGGATAAAACGAGTAATCTTTACTTATACATCGTGCTTATCAAGAAATGGAAGTGGGGCAGGAGATGTAGCTCAGAAGTAAAGCACCTGCGTAACATGTGAAAGGCCCTGGGTTCAAGTCCCAGCAATATGAAAAAAGAAAAAAGACAAAGAATAGAAGCAGATTCAGGACTGCCTTCACCTTATTTCAGTGCTTTTTAACTTCACTAACTCACCTGGTTTTCCTTTCTGTGATAGGGGCCACATGCCAGAGTGGTACACAAAATCTTTTGGACACTTGTGTGCAGCTGAAGTGGTAAAGATCCGAGACTCCTTCAGTAACCAGAATACTGACATCAAGGACACCAAATCAAGGTGATTGCTGAAGCAAAACAGCTGTGACCATCTGCTACTTGGGTGATTGTTTTTAGAACCTTGCCAATCCTTGGAAGAATCCATCTGTGTCTGAACCTAAAACAAATTCTAGTTGGAATATAGACATTGACTGTGTGAGTTGATACATTTTTAAAGCTGCTTCCTGTTTGTTTAAGGTCTGTGTTGTAGACCTTGACTGGAATATATAAGACTGTGTAAAAACAAATGTATTCTTATTCAAATTGCTTCTGAGAAGCAAAACTCTAAATACATTATGGAAGATAATGAAGAGACTTGGTTCTCTTGTGATATTGGTGTATGTGTACCTATGTTTTTGGCAGTGTGTTGAGGGACTGGTGTAGCCACTGTAATAGTTGGTACTCTGACTGGTTTTCTCACTGAGATGAGCAAGGAAAGGTTTGCACAGAGGAGTGTGAATGTGTGTTGTTGCTGGTTGAATGGCAGAGATGTAGAAGTTGGAATGCAGTGTCTGGCACACTGAGATGCCTCCAAGAAAGCAGGATACCGATGCACCAGGTTCAGTTTAACCTGGAATAGCTGACTACCCAGGGATTCACCCAGAAAGGGGACCCAACCTCTTGTCCATTTCATTCTTTTCCAACTTATAAGCATATTTCTTCTCTACCAACCTCTTCTTAACCTTAAAAGTAATTGTAGATTTACCTTGTCACACTCATTTTGACACAATTTGGTTTTAGACCTAATTGCAAATAGTGTTTTAATTTTGTCCAGTAAAATTAGTTCAGGAACAACCAAATAATTCTTGTCACCAGTTTTTGTTTATTTGTTTTTGTATTGTTTTAAGTGAAATGTAAAAACTGAACACTCTTAACAGTCAGTCCTTAATGAAGCCTCATATCTTTTTACCTATTAACAGCTCCTTGCATTCTCTTGTTTGTAACATAAACTCTTAAAGACACTATACATGGGAACATAGGAAAGTATGTATGTCCCAAGGAAATTCCTCAGGCACAAAAGGCTTTTTTATTATTTTACTATTGGTGTTATTATTATTACTGTTGTTGTTAACAGCATTCCTGAAAGCTACACTTGTTTATTAATTGGGTTTGTCCTGGTTAGCCAATAGATGCTCTGGTTTTATGACATTTTGGTTTTCCCACAATTCTTTTTCTTTACCCTTATAATCCCCTTGAAATATATTTTAGTAGTAATGGGAAGTAACCATAGTAGAAAAAAAGCAAACAGCAGTGTTTTAGAAGGGTAGTCTTTATACAGGTTTTACTGTATTGATAAAGATTGACTCAAGAGACAGTATTAGTAAATTTATTTTGTATGGATCAAAGTGAATAATGTGTGAATGAAAGAAGGATTTTTATTTTGTTATAATTTAGTTACCATTGTCAGTGTTATTTCAAAGGTTCTTTGAAGAATTTGGGGGGATCAGATTAGAGTTTTAAAATTTGAGTATTTTGGATATCAGTGTTCCTTGTGAAGATATACTTGTATATTCAATTTTGATGGCTTGCAGATTTATAAGATTCTATGTTGTATATACCATTCAAGTAAGAAACATGTACACATGTCTGTCCACTGTGCTTTCAGACATAGATAAAGCATGATAAAGATTATTATTTAAAATATACTTGTATTTATACCTCAGATATTCTTTTTGGGTTTTGTACCTCAAGGCTCCTCCCCCAATTGTAAATACACTTTACATGAATACAGTCTAAATGAAATAAATAAATAAATAAATAAAAGAGGTTTATAATTTGCTCTATATCTGTACAGACTATAATCAGTAAGTGCACTATTAAATGTTTAAAGTAAGGGAAAAGTCTGGCCTGCTTTCCTTTGTGTTGCATCTTTCTCCCAGCCTCAAAAAGTACAAATTGTAAAGAATAGCAACTGAGCACCACCTTAAATCAAAAGATAGATTTTCTGAAGGAAAAAGTGGACGGTGAATCACTCGAAGGCCAAATGCTGCTGAGCCACTCATGACAAACAGGAAACCCTGGTGAGGGTTCAGGAAGTATGGAGACTCTCCACACAAAGGAAATAATCCAGAGAAAGTTACGAGAATAAGTAACAGCCACAGAAAGATGCTTCTAAGCAAAGTGAAGGTCACTGATTAAGCCCACGGAAGGTCTCTTTCCCACATTTAACTTCCATGTTGAAAGAATTCCTTGTGTGTCTGACAAAACTTCAAAGGATGTGAACATTTTCAAGAACTCTTGTGTCACCTGAGGTGACATTACCAAAACTTACCCGTGTGACTAATTGCCTAGATTGTAAGCTCTCTGAGAGCAGGCACATCTCCTGCACATCTTTGTAATCCTCTACAGCAGCTTTCAGTGTTTTGTACTTACAGGCACCTAATAAATTTATTATTTGCTAAAGCGTACTGATGGAATTTGCTTCTGTTATTTCAAAGGAGAGAGAGCCTAGGCTGTCTGTCATCTGTCTTAAACCCTCACTTGGGTTCATCACTGACCATTTTGAGATTATAGATTTTAAACTGAAAATGATGTCAGATGTTCTGCCTGTTAATTCTAAATTAAACAGTTCTTTCTGATAGAGTCTTTTTTTTGCAGTGCTGGGAACTGGGCCCAGGGCCTCCATTGCTAGGCAAGAGCTCTATCACTGGGCATGTCCCCAACCACCCCCTTTGTGTTGGAATTTCACCCATCTCCTATCTTCCAGGCCATACAATATCCATGTTTACAGAGATTTCATTTTGTTACTATTTACTCTGGGAGCAGAAAGCAAGGAACAACCCACTCTCATAATTTTTTTAAAAGCCCAACAAAGGTATTTTTAAAACTTTTTTTCATCTCTCTCTCCAGACCTGGTTTCTCCCAAACTGTATGAAATACCAAGATGTCTTCAGCCCAGAATATCTCATTCTCACTTGTCAGAAGTCTAAGTCCCCAAGTTACTACCAGGATGGAGATTCACAGGTGCCTACTGTGGACTTAGATTGCTTTTGTTATCCATGTGTTTGCTTACTCTTGTGTAGTCAGTCATTCAGCACCAGCTACATACCTCACACTGGAAGTGGCTAGGAGCGAGGCTGGCGCTACCCTACCTTACCTCAACACACTAGCCAGTGTTGAGCTTAAAATGCTAATGCCATGTAGTGTGCTCAGGATGGGGAGCTAAGATCCTCACTGAACAAAGGTCAAGGTATTTATATCAAAGCATCCTCCCTACCAGTTTGTAGATGGGATACATAACAAAATTAAATGTGTTTTTTAAAAAGCTTGTTTTTAGGGCTGTGGAGACAAGGAACATTTATGAAATGTAAAATCTAAAGAATCTAAAGAAAATTTGAGGAAGCTAATTATCCAGAATTGGTGTCTTCCACTAGGAAAGAGGGCAGGGTGTGTGGAATATTATAGCTACATTCAAGTCTTTGTAGCACCTCACCCACTTTTCCTACACTTACCTAAGCCTCACACATCCTGTGAAGCATAGGCATTCCCACTGTTCTATGTTGAGGATCTGGCTGTAGAGATAGGGACAAATCCAAGTCCCGGAAAGAACCAGAACTGCAATTCCAGCTTGGATCTACAATTCCAGACCATTTATTGATGTTTTCCTAACTAGAAGGCACATTTCTCTGAAAGGACCAATCCACCATGGTTTCAGCATCAGAACTGGAAAGTAGGAAAATGAAGGTCTAGCAAGACAACTGTGTTAGAGAGTCCCAAAGAAGTTGTTATTGACATGATTAAGGAGGAATTAAATATTATTGATATGATTAAGGAGAATTAAATGTTATCATTGAGATGATTCGGGGGAATTAAATAGGCCATGATAAAGACAAGACAAAACTTTTGTGTCAGGTTGCTGGTGTAGTCATTTGTAGTTCTGTCCAGCAAATGAATAAATGGTTTCAAATGTACAAAGACCTCATTTATTCTCATTATGGAGCATAGAAGGGCACAATTCCCCCCGTCAGCAAGCACAGAACAATTAGCCGTGTGGTCGTATTTTAACCCACTAGTCTTGTATTATTTCATGGGTACAAGGGAACATCTAGATACAAACTTCTTAATTTGCAGCTCAGGACCAGAATTCTGGTCTTTTGGTCCTTTCTGCAGTTCCTCACCATGTCCTTACCACCACACAAGAATACCATGAAGTATACCCACATGCTCTACCTCTCCTGCCTAGTAATCATCCATCAATGATTATAAAACAGAAATCCTAAACAGTGAGATCATGGCACTCATGTCATCTGGTGTTCCATCAGGATGAAATTTGCCTAAGGAACTTAAATTCCATTTACCCAAGGAATGCAAATTACAAAAGACCTCAAAGAGCCTGTGGCAGGAGAAGCTCAGGTAGGTCGATGTGCACAGGTGCAATAAGTTTGGGCCCATTCTTGAGTAGATGATCAGTCTTTTGTAGGCAGGGACTTTGCAAAATCATGTTAGTACAGAGTAATTACCCTGGGTGTGTAAACACAGTTCCCATGAGAGTAGCCAGTTTGCCTGTCTGGACCCAGGGCTGTGTTGACACTGGCAACATAAATATCTCTGCAGAGATTTTTCACCTAAAGTTTTTAAAAAGGGAAGAGGGCTTTCTCATTTCCTTCTTCCTTTCCTACAAAAGACCTGAAGGAAAAACTTCTACCACCCCGAGAAAGGCTTTTATCCCCTATGATGAGTGACTTGTTCCATTACAAAGTGCGATTCTCTAGCAGGCTGTTTCAAAAAGCTTTTTGGATTACAAGTACTTTTTGTTTTTGTTAATTTTGCTGTGCTGGGGACAGAACCCAGGGCCTCATATATGCTAGGCAAGTACTCTACCACTGAGTTATAACCCCAACCCTGGTTATAGGTATTTTTAAATGGTTTTCACTTAAATTTCTTAAGGGTTGCAATCAGACCAGATGTCTAAATGAAGCACCATGATGTTCCAGGCAAAGGGACATGTGCTTTACACGCAGTTAATAGCTCATTTAAATCTCACAGCAATCCTTTGAAGAATAACATTGATGGAGAAAAGGACCCATTCTGCCCTGTCTAGTATGGTAACCACCATTCCATGCGGCAGTTGAGCACCTGAAATATGGTTTGTGTGACTGAGGAGCTGAATGTTTAATTTTATGCTATCTTCATTAATTTAAATTAGAGTAGCTCTATGTAGCGTGTGTCTATTGTTTGGACAGTGCCAAGTTCTTTCAAAAATCTAAGAATGCCGGGCAACGGTGGCTCACGCCTGTAATCCTGGCTACTCAGGAACCAGAGATCAAGAGGATTATGGTTCAAAGCCAACCTGGGTAAATAGTTCCATGAGAGTATATCTCAAAAAAGCCTTCACAGAAATAGGGCAGGTGGAGTGGCTCAAGGTGAAGGCCCTGAGTTCAAGCCCCAGTACCAAAAAAAAAAAAAAAAAAATCTAAGAAATTTCCAAGTAATGCAATCCCTATCTTTCTCTTCTGGCTATAATAATCACCTTTTTAAAAAATAAATAAATAAAGGAAATAAATATAAAAATTTGTAAAAATATAACTGACCACATTTCAAGTCAAATAACACCTATACAACATCCACCAGTCACAGGGCTGACACTTTTCTCCCCAGCTCAAGATCACCTTCTGGGTTTCCCAAGCTTGAGATAGTGACCTCTTTTCTTTGCTGCCAGAAGATTCGTGCATCTCCAAACCAGAGACAAAAAACGTAGTTGATCTGGGAGGGCGTTGTTTTGGAAATAACCTCTGTGCTTTCCTTACAGCCTGCAGTTTTGGATGCTGATCAGCCTCTTAGAGGAAGAGGGTCAGAAAAGAGAGTGCATTTGGAGAAGAACAGCCAGGGAAGTCTTGGTCAGTCAGGTATGCAAATGGAGGAAGGCAGAAACTAAGGACTGCAGAGCAACTAGAGAGGCAATGTCTACCTGCCTTCACCAGGCTACCTGTGGACTGCTTGCTCATCTCAGAATAACAGCTGCCTAGGAAGCAGAAAGTGCAACCCCACCGAATCAGCAGGGGCCTGGATCTTGACCTTGCAACCTTCAGAATTGTGAGGAATAAATGTTTGTTGTTTATAAGCTAAAAAAAAAAAACTGTAGTTGGTGTGCAAGAATGCCTAATAATCCAGAATATTCTCCTTGGCTTGCCGCGAGCAAAGCGGCCCTCACAGACATTGTTGTTTCAACAACCCACACTTGTCCCTGGTGAACTATGCCTGTTGGCTAAGTTCCCTTGCTCTGGCATTGCCGCTTTCTTTCATGTTGGCTGCCACTGTCAGAGCCCATAGACCTCTTCAATGAAATGAGTTCTTGACCAAGGGCTAGAATTTAGATCTTAAATGTCCCCCAAAGGCCTGTGTGTTAAAAGTTGGTTCCCCATGGTGGCACTAGTAGGAGGTGGTGGAAACTTTAAGAGGTAGAGGGTAGTGGTAGGTTTTAGGTAATTGGGGGCATGCCCTCGAAGGGAATTGTGGGAACAGCCCCATCCTTTTTCTCTCTTTCACAACCCAGCCATGAGGTGAGCAGCTTTGCTCTGTCACGAACTCCTGCCATGATGCTCTACCACAGGCCCAAAGCATTGGGCCAATAGGTCATGAACTGAAACCTGGGAAACTATGAGCCAAAATAAACCTTTCCTCTTTATAAGTTGTTTATCTCAAGTATTTTGCTATAGTAATAAACAAGTGACTAACACACCAAGTTTTATAGCAAAGATATGTCTGTACCCAAAAGTCAGCAGTAATAGCACAAGACAAGGATGCATTCTCCACAGTTTTCTAGTCCCTAGCCTTTTCCCTCCAAAGGACTCTTCATTATACTTCCTTACATGCTCCACTCTTTTTTGAAAAATTTCAAAGATTTATCATACAAACAGTATAGCTTACTAAGAAGTAATATATTTATTTTCTTAATTTCAGAATATTATGTATAGCTGCTCATCAAAGCGAAAGCTTCTTAGAAAGAAATGTGGAGTAACTGTAATTGGCACATGGTTTGAGAGTTTTCTCAATGAAAACAACTTTCTAAAGCCCACAGTCCATAGCCCAATACAGTTCTTCCCTCACTCTCTCATACACGTGGCACAGAGAAGAAAGGTCAGGGAAATGAGGGATTTAACATCTGACCTGGAGAAGCCAGTTTCTCTGACTTCCAAGGCTAGTAGAGAGGGTGAATTTTTTCCAATAACAAGGATAAATTGAGCTCTTTTTGTTGCAGGGCTTCAAAATGTAAACATAACAAATAGATCACTAATAACATTCCAAGGAAGCAGGAAATTCAAAGTTCACACACTCTGTAAAGATTGCTAAAGCAAGGGAAAAAAAAAAGGACTCCTCTGGGACCATGGGAGATGTTGAAATATCTTAAATAGCTGGAGAATATTTCACTCCAAAATCCCACGATACTTAAAATGGAATATG